GGAGTTGGCACAAGGGGTAAGTGAGCATGCTGATTACGAAAAATTATTGACATTCCGGGCGGAGCCGGATTTGCCAGCTAGCAATATATAATTTCTCAAACAACAATGGATATTTCTGAAGTTTTGAATAATTCTCGCTATTGCCATTGGGACTTGTTTGACTCTTCTGACTCTCTTTTCATATCCTCTTTTGCAACATCAGTTTACAAGTCGATCCTGTAAGTATGTCTACAAAAGTACACAAACGTGTTGTCGCTGATTTTGAAAAACTTCTTATTTCAGCATCAACGCAAGTAAGTGTAGCTTTAATGCAAAGCCATTTTCTTGCACACAAAAGCTCTTCGTGCCATAGCGCAATGGTGGCTTGTCCACTTCTGATATTTGTATTCAGATCCCGAGTTGACATAGGGATCACTGTACAGCTGAAATAAAACTTGCACAGTACACTGGCAAATGGTTGAAAAAACTGAATTATAAAAAAAAGATTATGAACATCATAAAATTCACAAAATGTACCCTTTAACTATAAAAGAACACGGGAACCCGGCAACGGTCCCGCTGCCTTTAACGTCCCGCTGCCTTTAATTGGGAAATGTATGCATGAATGTCCTTGCGGCGAGGAAAATGGCATCCTCCTGGAGGGGCCGCGGGCAAACGCTGGTTCTATTGGGGATGCTGCTCTTCTTGCCACAGGGATATTTATGCCTACGAAACTAAGGGCCGCATGCACTAACATCCCCGCCGGGAAGGGGACCGCCTTTAAAAAAAGCTTCATATCCTGAAGCTCCGTATATTTGGATTTTCGCTGTATATCTATTCGTGATTATGAAGACGTTCGCTGGAACACGCTCTACGAATTTCGTAACGAACAGCAAACATACACGCACAAAAACACGTAAACACCGTTATTGTAAGTCTTGATGTTAGTTGGTAAGGATCTCTCTCAGCAACCGTCATGGCTGTCGTAATAAACAGAAGAGTAAAAAGTATTACCACCCGTGATATTGCCTCGTAACACAAAAAAGACGAAAGCGGCAGAGTTGGTCGATTCAATACATTGCTTTAGCATCAGTCAAAACTTGCAAGTTTCTGTCTCAGCTTTGGCGACGGCAAAAAACAAACGAGTAAGGTTTCAAAACGGTGATCATCTATGTGGATTCATACCAGCACACAATCCCTTCCGCTAAATGGTGCACCCTGAGTCCAGGCTAGAAAGTCAACTTTTGTGCCGTCGGTCCAGGTCCAGTTTCTGCTTTGTGTACCTTCTCTCCTTAGACCGATCCAAGTCAGTTCACGAGCGTAATCATCACTCCATGGCACGCCCATTCTTGCCAGCTCTAGATCAAAACCAAGTCATGTTTGTGTTAGTACTCCACATTGTTTACAACAAGATGACTTTACCGGCTACGAAAACATTTTCTGCGTAGCTGTGGATTGAAGTCAAATGTCCTCCAACAGTGTCACAGATGTCTTCGGCATCTTGGAAATTCGCATTGTAAAAAGTCTGTAATTCGTTCATCAGGTTGTAGAAAAGTATACACTGGTTTTTTTGAACTTTTATGTCGTAGCATATTTTTTGTAGGATTTCAACGACAAATGACTCATACGATGCAGTAATTAGATCCTCTACTATGGGCCGCTGAAGTGACGTGGGGATAACACTGGGTGTCGAACTGCAATGTACAGCCGAGTGTATATTATGGTGTGGTAGGGCCTCCCAAGTTGTGAAGTAGTTCGACGTTTTGGTTTCTGCCGGATGCCTAGCTCCACCAGCTAGAAAAAGAGATAGAATCCCTGCACATCGCATACCGCCTACAGCCTGAGTGGTAGCAAGGCGTCTTTAGTATCAGAGACTGCCCTAAGCTCCGCTACAGCTTTAGGACAGTCTTCACAAACGCCGATCTCCACAATATTCTCGACGCCACACACACACACACACACACACACACACACACACAC